TGAAAGAGTGAATAATTTAAAGTAAAGCATGATACCAGAAAAACACACCAGTATTTTTAGAATCTGGTGATAAATACTTTTTAAGTATCAGAACAAATGTAAAATCTATAAAGGAAAAATGATAGCCTTGTCTCAATTAAATTTGGAGCTTTTTAATAATTTGTTTTAGTTTCCTAGGGCTGCCTATAACTAAGTACCACAAACAAAATGCCTTAAACAACAGAAATGTATTTTCTCAATGTTATGAAGGTTATAAGTACAAGATCATGGTATTGGCAGGGTTGGTTCCTTCTAAGGCTGGGAGGGAGAATCTGTTCCATGCCTCCCTCCTAGCTTTTGGTAGTTTACTGACTGTCTTTGGTGTTCCTTAGCTTTAAACGTGTCACCCCCATCTCTGTCTTTGTCTCACATTATGTTCTGCCTCTATTCCTATTTGTTTCCAAATTTCCCCGTTTGGTAAGGACAGCAGTCATATTGGAGCATGGCACCCACCATACTCCAGTATGACCTAATCTTAACATCTGCAACAATCCTATTGTCAAAAAAAAAAAAAAGTCACATACCAAGGTAGTAGGGTTAGGACTTAAAATTCTTATTTGGGGAGGGGGGAAGACACAATTCTACTCATAACAATTTCCTTGCATAAATTTAAAAGGAATAACCAAAAGGGGAAAGAGTTATTTAAAATAACAAAAAGTTTGTATTCTCAAGTATCTGTGTAGGTCTTTCATATCAATGCAAAGATAAACCCTTCAATATCTAAATGAACAAAAGACATGAATCATAAATTAATGTTCATAAGTAAATGAGAATATAAATCAATATAGAAAAAATTCTCAATTATACTATTCATCAGTGGCTATTCATTAACCAATACTATTTTGTTGTGTATCTCAGACAACTATGAGTGTGTCCACTGTTGTCAATAGCGTGAGACATAGGAATTCTTAGGCAGTAATGTTAGCAAATGTAATTTGGTATAGGTTTCCAGAAGGGCAGTTTGTAAAACCATAAATATGTGTAAACCCTTTACCCCAGAAATTCTGTTTCTGGTAGTTTTCCTAAAGAAACAGATGCACCCAGAAATTTCAGTACAAGAATGTTCTCCCATAGCTTCTTTTTTTACTTTTTATTTTGAAATAACTACAGATTCACAGGAGGTTGCAATGTTAGTACAGAAAATTACCTTTGTACTCTTCTCCCAGTTTCCCCCCATGTTTACATCTAAGGTTAACTATAGTACATTTTTGAATCCAGGAAATTAACATGTAGAGTTCTATGTCATTTTATCATGAGCAGATTTGTGTAACCATCACCACAATCAAGATACAGAGCTGTTCCTTACCACAAAGATACTTCAGGCTACCCCTTTACAGTCACAACCACCCCCTCTCTTCTCTCACCATCTCTAATCTCTGGCAACCACCGATCTGTTTTCCACCTTTATATTTTTGTCATTTTGAGAATGTTACATAAACAAAATCTTACAATATATGACCTTTTGAGATTGGTTTATTTTCACTCAGCATAATGTCCTTGAGAGCCATCCAAGTTATTTGTTGTGTCTATCAATATAATTCATTGCTTTTATGGCTGAGTGGTATTCCATGGTATGGATACTCCACAATGTTTGTTTAACCATTCACCTATCGGAGGACATTTTGGTTGTTTATAGTTTTGACTATTACAAGTATAGCTACTATGAACATTTGTATGTAGGTTTGTGTGTAGAACAGGTTTTTATTTCTTTCTCTGGTTTGTGTAGGAATGAGATTACTAGGTGGGATGGTAGTATTTGGTTTAGTTTTTAAAGAAACTGCCAGAAAATTTTATAAATTCTCACCAGCAGTTTTTGAGATATGAGGTCTCACAATTAAGTTCGTGTAAGTACCACTGTGCACTTACATTGGCAGCACTGTACAAGCAGCTCGGTAAGGTTTCATAACCTTGGTATATCAGCGTCTCACAGCTGTGTTTGTGTTGACATGTGGCGGTGTCTTGCTGATTGGTGTTCATTATTGTTGTTGCATATTTTTGTGTGCCATTGCAAGAATGTCTGAGCCTGAATTAGAGCAATGAACAAACATTAAATTTCTTGTTAAACTTGGCAAGAGTGGAAGTTAAATCAGGGACATGTTGTCCANTTTTTCACTTCTAGTTTTCTTGAAACATGCATTCCTTTCATTCTTTTTATTTTTAAATTTTATTTCTTTATGTTTGATAAAGACCTGGATAGAGGCACAATCTATCTGTTTTGACAAATCCAGAGCCTCCCGCATGATACTCCAGGACACCTTGCACTCGGCCTCGGTGCCTGGGAGCAGCAGAGCAGGCCTGGAGCTGCCTGGGAGTCCCTGCCCGGCTCTCCCAATTCATGAGAATTTCCCAACTTTGAAATTGGTTACTCATTCATATTTCTACAAATACATTGTTCATACCCAACAAACCATACCTGCAGCCTCGACCCATCCTAGCCCCCAATTTTCCCAGATGCTGAGGACCAGAGAGAGAAAGAGTCTCTCTTGAAGCTACTAGTTCTATTCACTAAATAGTATAAAGAAAATTTCACGGTTTCATTATTTTGTGTTTAAAGTCATTTAAGAAACTATTTAGTCTTACTCATTGATTTTATGGTGAGTGTGAAGTAACTTGTGGAAGCTTCTCTCCAGAAATGTCCAGGATATGCCAATATGTGTGGGGATTGAGTTTCTTATTCTGTCCCCACCAGCACTGGCCCGTGTTTGTGGAGGTTAAAGACCTGTTGACTTTGGTGCCACCCCTAGTGGGCCTGAAGGGGAACCTGGAGATGACACTGGCTTCACGACTCTCCACAGCTGTAAGTGGACACCTGGACATCTGGGTCACCTTGCCCCTGGGGAGGGACACATCCATACCACCAGGTCTCCCTAAAGTAGCTTATGGGTGGGTGGATTGGACTCTCTGAAAAGATGAGTGTTGTTGGGTTTTGTTCTGTCATGATGCTCTACCTGGTTACTCTTCCTGGCCCGTCCTCCTGTTTTTCCGTGGCCAGACTCGAGTACTGGCAAGCCTAGGCCCATCCCCCATGTGCCCTGAGTTTCTCCTTTAACCCGGTGTCAGGTAGGGCTCTGTGTTCCTGTGCCCAAGTCTATGTACTGCCCGTACTCAGCCACCTGGACTTTCAGCCCAGCTCCACACATTCACACTGAAGCCACGACCAGCGCCACAAGCTTGATGGAAGACTTCATAGGGGAGACAGAGGATTGAATGTTGTTAATACTTTTTGTGAGGCAGTTTTGTTCTCCAGGAGGACTCCTTGAATACCAGAGGTATTTTCCTCTGGGCTCTAACTAACAAGCTTCCTAGCTTTGTCACTCTTTTCCCCTCTCCCAGCTATCCCAGGAATTGAAATTATTTTCCTCTCTCTGATGCCCATTTGATATGTTGTATGTGAAAAAGAGCTGTGTTAAGAGGAAGTGCAGTGTGTTCAAGAAACAGAAAAGAGCTATGGACTTAGCTGGAGTGCAGAGGGTGAAGGGACAGGGCTGCCTGGAAACAGGAGGCCGGAGAGATAGGTGAGGGGTGGTCGGCTGAACAACAGCCCCCAAAGATGTCCATGTCCAAATCAGTGGGACCTGTGAATGTTACCTTATATGGAAAAGGTTTTTGCAGGTGTGATTAAGTTAAGGACGTTGCCATGGGAGAGCATCCTGGATTACCCCCATGTTATAAGTGTCCCTATATAGAAGAGGCAGAAGGAAGTTTCAGATGGAAAGGAAGAAGGCCTACGGCGGAAGTCCCAGAGAGAAGTTTCTCTGCCACTGGTTTTGAAGATGGAGGAAGAGCCATGAGACAAGGAACATGGCTCTACCTGCTGCAAAAAGGAAAAGAACAGATTCTCCCCTAAGCTTCTGGAGGGAGCAAGTCCTGGCTGACACCTTGATTTTAGCCCCATTAGACTCATTTCAGACCCCTGGCCTCCAGAACTGTAAGAGAATACATTTCTGTCATTGTAAGCCACTAAATTTTCAATAATTTGTTATAGCAATAATAGGGAACTGACACATGGAGTAAGATCATGTAGAGCCCTGTAGGACATTGAACTGTTTTAAACAGCAGGTAACATGATGCAGAAACACACACGAAGAGATGAACACAAGAATGCCCATGTATGCACACACATGCACACATGATTATATTGGTCATTTGGGAAGAAAAAAAAACGTTGATGGTTGTCTCTGCCATGCTGAGGGGTTACGTTTTTATTTCATAATGCTTAACTGCATTTTAAACACTTCTCTACAATGATCGTATCTTACTGTTTATAATTCTTTTAAAATATATAAAACATGGAAGGAAAAAAGAGTGATTAGTATAATTCATTACAGTGGTCTATCCAAGGAGAACAGCCCCATTATCATCACAGTAGAACCTTTAAAGGCATACAACACCCATTCTTAACTTCTTGTAATCATAGTATTAAAGTATGAATTAATACAATAAAAACTCACAAATGTACGTGTACAGGTCAGTGGCTTTTGACAAATATCTCTATCTGTTTGTCTATCTGTCTATCCAGCCAGCCAGCCAGCCAGCCAACCATGAAACTACTACCCTAATCGAGACATACAAGTACAGATTTGGAAATACAAATACAAAGTTCCTGACTCGGAAAAGTCAGTGTTGTAAAGTTATCAGTTCTCCTTGAATTAGTTTATAAAATTAATGCAATTACTATCAATATGCAAAAGGATTTAGGGAAACATTTGAAAATATTAAAGTTTATCTGGAGGAATGAGTGAGAATACCAAGAAAATTTTGGTAGATAAAAAGAAAGAATACCAATGTTGAAATCAGAGTTCCAGATTTTAAAATTTAATCTAAAGCTATAGTAGTTAAAATATTTTGCAGCCTGTCCCAATTGATATTATCATAGAACAAAATAGAACATATAGAAATAAGTTCAGATATATACAAATATATGAGGTGTGATTAAAAAAATATGGTGAATATTTAAATTTTTAAAAATTTATTACAGTAAAAGACACATTGCCATTAATCCCCCTCACTTTGAACACAGTTATCACATCGTTCTTGCCACTTTCTGAAGCAGTTCTGAAAGTCCCCTTTCATGACTGTCTTTAGTTGTGCTGTCGTGCCGCCTCGATATCCTGAATCGATGCAAAACATTTACATTTCATGGTCATTTTGACTTTGGGGAAGAGCCAGAATTTGCATGGTGCCAGATCTGGTGAATAAGGTGGATGAGGACACACCTTAATGTTTTTATTTGACAGAAATTGCCGTACCAGAGCAATGTGTGACACAGAGCGTTGTCATGATGGAGGATGAAACCATTTGCCCATTTCATGTTACTGCATTGTTTGTGATCCATGAATTATTGCACACTTTAAAACACACTTTCTCTCAACCATAGCTCAACCGACTGACTGCACCGGACAAGGTGAAACTTGTCACACATTGTTACCACATGCGTCACTTCCTGTATTGAAGACCCTGCCTTTCCATTGGATGGCATTTGGCAGCAGCATTCCCTGTATTTTTTTTTATCACACCTCATAATCTATTATGTGATAATACTGGCATTTTAAATCAGTGAAATTGTATGAATTATTAATAAAAGGTTCTGAGATAATCAGTTCATTCATTAGAAGTAATTGTTCTTTAATTTATGTCATGCAT